GACATAATAAATTCGTTAATAAATTTCTACTTATTCTTTTAGTTCAGCAGTTTAATTAAAGTAATCTATGTCTAGAAGGGTAAAGTGCCAGACATCCATGCTAAATTAAAATTCCGTTTTCGGAAGTTTTCCATCTTATGCAAAAGCTCATTTTTAAAAAGCATGGAATTTCAGATTCAATTTTATTGAAATAATTTATAAAAATTCTTAGAAAAAGAGTGAAAGATAACTGTTTCTGTAGTTAAATGTTTATAGTTAGTTAATGCTAATAAATGCAAATTAAAATACATATTCATGTGGTATTATCACATGGTTTACTTTGAATAATAAATATTTTAATTTAAAATAAATTCTTAATTGATGTTTGCTATTAATTTCAATAAAAAAAAATTTTTTAAACATTGCAAATCTGCTTTCACATTGCAGAAATATCTTGACACTTTTTTTGGAAGTTCCTGAAAAAGAAGTCAATTAATAATTTTTAAGGAATTTTAAACTTTTTCGTCGTCACCAGTATCTTTATCTTAGAAGTTTGATGCATCATTGCTAGTATAAAATTTCTTCTTTACACTCATTTTGTGAAATAAAAGAACTCACTAAACTATCCTATTGTACCTCACAAACTTTGTCATCAGTTTTTTTAATTAAGTAAATAAATAGTCGGGAAAAAATTTATAAAAAAATCATTGTTCAAAATTTTCACATCTTCTGCTTTTTACTTTTACCTCTCCACTCGAAGTAGATTCAAGTTTATACCAACTAAATTCCTTTTTTTAACGGTAGGGTTTGACAGGAATTTTCGAATCGTTCCATTTATTGGAAATTCCGCTTTAGTGGAAATTCCGCCTCGTCAGTGTCCCTTATTAAACAAAATTTACTTTTCGTGTAGAACTATAAACTATGCTGCACTAAGAATTTCTCTCTTTTTTTCAATTTCAAAAATTCTTGTCATTTATTTATAGGAAGCTATTAAGATGACAATTAAATAAAACCAGAAATTTATGATAAATTTTAGTAACCGTGAATCGGCATTTTATGTGTTACATCGAATAAAACCAGATAATTAGACTAACGTATTAAAATTCAGACTTTTTTTCATTTTAAAAAATAAAACTTGGTTTTTACTACACTGAGAAAAAAGTACAGTCCAAACTACAAACATACGAACAGAAAGTTTACCAAATGAATAGTTTAAAGGCCGTATATTTTGCTTTTACAAACCAGAATTTACCAAAAATGTCATCGCCATGCAATAGTGTGAGTTTACCAGATTTTTTTTTCTCCGTGTACCATATTCCAAATATCGTACACCTTATCCTTAATACCATTTCATCGTTTTGTTATCATGCCAATCCCATTGCTAATCTTTCGAAAAAAATGTAAGAAAATAACTTTATATTAAATTAGACAGTTTTCTTTAACATCTAAAAGTATTTTTTGTAACTACATTCGAATAAATCAATAATTGTATGAGAGCCTATTAAGATACATCATGCTATTTTAACTTTTAGTTAGTGTGTATTTGAGTTTAAATTACTAGTTAAAATGAATCCATCATAAAAAGTTTAAAAAAATCAAAATGTTTTATGAAAAATACTTTTTTACCCATTTTTAAAAATCCAGAATTTTTATTTCTAACTATTACATTCTAGTAAAGTAATTAGCCCATTAACGATTACAGAGATGCTTAAAATTATAATTTTTAGTTATAATGTGTAAAGATATTCTGTACACTACAATGATATAATAATATACATTTCAAGTTATTCCATCAAAATGCATAAAGATAAACACATGATATAATAATTGCTCTTTTTTCCATTTTAAAGAAACAGAAAAGAGTGACTTTTTAAAACTACATATCAGCAAATTAATTATTGTATAAAACATTACTTAGATACATAATGATATTTTATCTTTTTGCTCATCGACGTATACATAACTTTTTTGTTCCATTTCCAAAATCAAGATATGATTTTTTACTATTATATTCTAAATAAACTGGATATTGAAATAAAGAATTACTATTACTAAAATAGTTACTTGAATGTTCGAAAATAAAGCAATTTTTAATAATTTGAAGATTAATATTTTTTTTTTATGATTTCTTATTGTTTACTACATTTATACCTTTAATATCGAAATTTACAATAGTGTAAACTTTTAATAATGCAAGTATTTTTACTTGATAAAAAAAAATTAATAACTTAAAGATCAAACATTATTTTTATGATTTCTTCAAACTATTTACTAAATTTATCGCTTTATTATCGAAATTTACAATAGTATATAATATAATTAATAATGCAAATATTTTTACTTGATAAAAAATGTGAGTTAATATTGCTTTTTAAGGTAATTTCAAGTGTGTGCATTTTCATACTATTTTCCCTCCACCATTTATTAACAAATTAATTCATTAATTAATTAATTCACAATTTAATTCATTAGGAACTATTTTTTAGTATTGAATTAAGAATAAACCATAAGATATTCTATTATAATATACGATTTCTAAGCTTTAAAATTAACCTTTCATTCATTTGCATTACTTGTATCGCTTTTTTTCTATTAATTTATTTCGCTCTTTTTTTCATTCTGCTCTTTTTTCTCCTACTCTATCTACTGATTACTTCTTCTAATTACTCTCTATCTCTCTTCCCTTTTTTATCATTTTTTTATTTATTTAATTTAGTTCCCTTCCTCTTCTCTCTTTCTTTCTTTCTTTCTAATCTTTCTCATTCATACTTTTAACTTCTTCTATCTGATTTAGCAAAAATCAATGTTATTCATTTTTATTTATATATGTGCTATATTTAAAATTCTCATACATATAAAAGCTTTCTTTTCATAAAAAAATATTTCAATAGCAAGACAAAAGTCATCAAAAGACAAATTTTAAATGTACCACCAAAAAATCTGAATTTTCTTGTTTATGTACACGTTAAATGATACTTTTTTTAAAAAAATTCTGAGTTTAAGGACATGTTACGTGAATTTTTATATTAAAAAAAATTATTTTTGCCATCTTTAAGCATTTAACATTATTTTTTCTTCCAAGAACATTAAAATGGACTTCTGTAATATTAAGACGAATTTACCAATTTTTTCAATTTCGTTAAATTTACTGAAATATTTTTTTTTACTAATCTTTAAAATTTATAGGGTATTTCAAAGAAGTCTCTTTTTGATAAAACACTAAACTAAAAATTCTTGCAAAATGAAATCACCTTTAAAACCGTTTTAACTCCACTAACTCAATAACAGCTCAATAAAATTTGTTCGCATTTATTGAAATATAAGTCAATAAATGTAGCAACAACTATAGATTAGATCTTCGTCTTGAAACTTTTCCTTGAGTAAAAATTCAAAAATTCTAATTCTCTGCTTAGCAATAAAAAAAAATCTTCTAATGAAACGAGGTACACAAATGTTACAAATCGCGTGAAATGTATACAAATTGTTTACATTTTTCAAAAACTGAAACAAGTTAGGCACAAATTTTTAAACATTTTTAAAAATTAATCACCTGAATTTCTAAAATTTGCTATTTTAAAGAGTTTTATTAAAATGCAACAAAAAGTTTCTTAAAGGCTTTGAGTGATAAAAACTAAAACTTGAGAAGCAAAAATTGCTTTATTAAGTTAAAAGTTTTATTCGTTAAACTGTTTTTATGCGATCAATTATAGCTAAAACATATGTGATTAATTATAAATAAAAGAGATTATTCTCATGTTTTGGAATTTTTGATTTAAATAAGTTGATTTTACCCATTTTTATTCTTGCCTCAATGAAATTTTCTCTATGTATATTAATAAAATGAGTAGAAGATTTTTTGCTTTAAAAGTTTTTTTGTTCATAAATTGCATCAGTTGGAAAATTCGAATTGATTTTTGATCATTCCAAAACAAGTTTCACTTTATCGTAGGAAGATAGAGGATTACTGATTACCATGCATTTTATTATGTAATTCATATTTTGTTATTTATAGGTATTGTCAGACTATTATACTAAACATAAGAACTATTTATAAAAAACCTTTCTCTCAGTTTATCAAATTATACATCGAAAAAACTGAGTCATCTGTGTAAATTAAGGGGTGATGATATACGAGTAAAAAATAAGATAAGTGAAAAATTTAAGGATTAATAATAAAACATAACTCCATTGTAAAATTATGTTCTACACAGGCTACAAAGAACACAATTCTTTTACAAAGTGTCTTCTTGTATGCATGGGCCTTCTATATGTAGAAGACGATTGCAGATTTCTATAATCGCGTTGAAATAAAATATTGTACCTTTTGAAATTTTAGTTCTAATCATTAATTAATAATTGAAACAGTCTAATACGGTTTTCACTATTCCTTTTATTTTGCTTACTTCTTTCTTTTCCATTTTTTTTTTTGCACAATCAATACTTTTTGAAGTTTCTTCAGTGCATAACTTAATTTGAATTTAGCGCTGATTAATTGACCTCTACTTTTGTGTCCTATACATTTATTCGATAAATCATCAAGAGAACATGCGTACTTAAAAGTAATTCCCTTATGCATATAGAATGGTACAATCAATCAATAAATCAGCGATAGGAAGAATAACTTTAATTGCGTAGTTTCGTTCTATTTTATAACAGTCGTTGAACAGCCGGAAAAAAATTTTTTGGCTTACAACTATTAATGTTCAACTCCATAGCCTTGTAATTTCGACCCCAATCCAGTAAACAAGGGAACTCCTGGATTAAGTATTGGGAGAAATTTACAGTGAGGGTAACATTCATACATTCACAAAGAATAAAGAACATATAACACAGAGAGAGAGAAAGTTACATCCATGGCTACGGTGAGATTCGAACCCACAACCGTTGTCCAATACAGTAAGAATTAGACCAGTGATGGGATCATTGTAGAAATCTGTAATCGTCTTTATGTGTGTGAGGATGCTTCCGTCAGATTTAAAAAAAGAATGTTTTAAGACTGAAACACACTCTATACCGTGTAGCCTCCTGGGCATGCATTTGTTCGGAGGTAGATTTTGCAGACGCGGAGATGGTCGAGGTATGTGCAGCTGCATTGAGCTTCAAAAGCCGGAATCTTACTGCCTATGCGACAGAATGAATTTCGACAACTTCCTCTGGGCTACAGTCACCGTATTCCAGGTAAGTTATTAAACGTTTAAAGATAAAGGTAAAATCTACTCAATTAAGATGATCAGAGAGGCAGTTAAAATATGATATTCGTATTTTAAACTGTAACTGGGTATTAAACTGTGTATCAAAAACTGTAATAAACATACCTTTTTATCAACGGTCCTATTAACGGCAAATGTGGAGAAAAAAAATTTCTTTTTTCTTGATCGTCATCTTTCTTTTACGTTGTAAAGGCTCACGTGACCCCACGTGACAGAGAAGAATTCGGGCATGCAATGAAATGAAGGTTTTGGTTTTAAAAAAAAGAAATTCTTTCCATAATTTTTTACCCCTCAGACGCAGAGTTGAGAGTCGGTTAAACTAATCAGTTACAACTGTAATTGATTACAGATAATTACTGCTATGTAATAAATTACTAGTAATTGCAATAACAAGTAATTATAATCTCTGATTACATCAGAATTTGGGGGAAAATGTGATTGACTACATTTTTCAGTCATCAATTACTCGTAATCAGGATTACATATTTTGATTAAAGGGGGAATGGAGATTAAAATAAGCGATTACAATAATCAATTACATGTAATTATGATTATATGTATTCATAATTATGGTTACAACTGTAATCGGGATTAGAATAACCAATTACAGTAAGCAATACTTGTAATCGTAATTGCAAGTAATCCGAACATAGGATTACATGCAATCTTGATTACATGTAGATATGATTACAAGTAATCTAAACATACGATTACAAATAAAGACTATTGTATATCAATGATCATATTATACAGTATAATGCATTGTAGTGCATATAGTAGTACATTTTGTACATATTACATACAACGTATGAATGTAAGTGAAATGTAAATGCTAATCCGTGATCTCAAATATACTAATTAATAAATACAGACGATATTTTAAGTTCCGAAATTTGACAGAAAAACGTGCTTTCTCTGAATAAACATACCTAAAATATTGGGGTTAGTCGCAATCTGGGAAATATGGTCCCCATAGTTTGGTCGGGAGAATGATCCAAAGTTTGGATCCCTTAATGTTAATTTTACTTTTTGCGTATTTAGCTACATCTCGAGAACTTGTTTAACGAAATGAAAACTTTTTGCACACAATTATAAAATTCGTTTATCCAAAGATAATTCGAGGCAAAAAAAAAAAAAAACATTTTAGCAAATATTTATAATTTATAAAATTTTAAAATGTAAGGTATACATTTTTTGCATCATTTTAAAAAATATAATTTTATATGGCAAAATACAAAATTTGAACGTAATCAATCGAATAGTTCCTGAGAAATGAAATTTTAGAAAAGTCTTATTTTGAAGAAAGTCTTATTTTCAAAATTCGATTTCTCAGGTACTATTCGACCGATTTTACTCAAATTTTGTATTTTGCCATGTAAAATTATATTCTTTAAAATGATGTCAGAAATTTTATACTTTATAATTCACACTTTTATTNCTATATCTCGAGAACTTTTTAAGCAAATTGAAAAAAATTTTAAACACAATTAAAAAATTTGTTTATCCAAAGATAATTCTATGCAAAAAGTAACTTTTAATGGTCGAAAAATTTCGAATTTTAAGGTAATACATTTTTTGCATCATTTTAAAAAATGTAATTTTATATGGCAAAATACAAAATTTGAACGTAATCAGTCGAATAGTTCCTGAGAAATGAAATTTTAAAAAAGTCTTATTTCGAAGAAAGTCTTATTTTCAGAATTCGATTTCTCAGGTACTATTCGACCGATTTTACTCAAATTTTATATTTTGCCATGTAAAATTATATTCTTTAAAATGATGTCAGAAATTTTATGCTTTATAATTCACACTTTTATTGACTATTATTAAATAAAATAATAAATATTTATTAAAATTTATGTTTTTCAGGGAAAAAATCTAAAAATCTAAAAAATCTTTGGAAAAACAAATTTCATAATTATGTGTAAAAAAAATTTCAATTCGCTTAAAAAGCTAGATAAAACTAAATACGCAGAAAGTAAAATTAACATTAAGGGATCCAAACTTTAGAGCGCTCTCCTGACCAAACTATGGGGACCATATTTCCCAGATTGCGACTACCCCCAATATTTTAGGTATGTTTATGCTAGATATGTTAATATTTTAGGTCAAAGAAGGTACGTTTTTGTGTCAAATTTCCCAACTTAAGATATCGCCTGCACTTATTAATTAGTATATTTGAGATCACCCGTCGAACCATTAAGATTAATCTCCAGAACGTGAAAATCCGATCATTAGATCAAAAATTATTCAGGGTTGCCCATTAATTTTTTACGCACTGTACACATATGCATTAGAAAAATGTAAAAGTATATATATTTTACTATACTGTATAATAGTATCATAATTATATAATCTTCTTTACTTGTAATAGTATGTTTAAATTACCTGTAATCATATCTACATGTAATCAAGATTACGTGTAATCATATGTTTTGATTACTCGTTATTACGATTGCAAGTATTGATTGCTGTAACTGGTTATTCTAATCACGATTACAGTTGTAACCATAAAATATGCATATTTGTAATCATAATTACATGTAATTGTAATTGATGATTGTAATCTCGATTTCCCGCTTTAATCAAATTGTTTAATCCTGATTACGATTGAGTACTGTGATCGAAAAATACAACCGATCACATTTTTGTCCCGACTCAGATATAATCTGAGATCATAATTACTTGTAATTGCAATTACTGATAATTTTTATATAGCAGTAATTATCTGTAATCAATTACAATTGTAATCGATTACTGTAATTGACTCTCAACTATGCGAGTAAGGGGGAAAAAATTATGGAAAAAAATCTTTTTTCTTACCAAAACCTTCATTTTGCTTCATGCCTGAATTCTTTTCTGGACAAGAAGTGGGGTCACGTGAGCCTTTGCAACGTAAAAGTAAGATGCCGATCGAAAAAAATAATTTAAAAAATCTACACTACCATGGCAAGAATAACCATTTGCACTTTCGCAATCTCCTTTAGTATATTATTCAGTTTAGGAGACCAACTTTGCGTATCTAAGAGTTGCTCAAATGGCATAATAAACAGCTTCAAAACATACAGTAGTTATAACCCTTAAAATTAAAGCAAGAAGAGTGAAGCAGAGTTTCTGAATAAGAAGTTCGCATGTAAAGTTGTGTTAAGATGGATACTCCAGCGGGCAATGGAAATGATTTTTTTAGAGTCTGGTCATAATGTGGATATTTACGTTCGAATTTCTGCGGTATATAACGAACACTGACTACAACAAACCACTGCGAATAGCGTTCATAAATTTGCTGAGGTAAGTAAACCCGGCGATCTCTCGTAAATTCTTTGCTGGAGTAATGATGCAATTAAAGGTGATCATGACATCTATGCAACAGATGAGTATTTACTCCTAAGCGTGTATGAGTATTTAAGACTTCAAAGTAATGAGGATTTTCTGAAACGAAATATCATGCTACATAGTATTGTTCTATTGCAAACGCATCCTTCTTAACTCGATTTTACATTCACTTTAAAAGCTTTCATGGGAACAGTTTTAGGCAGACTTCGATGCACTCCTCCTTCATAACTATGCTACTTTCCTTTATAACTATGCTATCTAACTATGCTACTTTCCTTTATAACTATGCTATCTAACTATGCTACTTTCTTTCATAACTATGCTATCTAACTATGCTACTTTCCTTTATAACTATGCTATCTAACTATGCTACTTTCCTTCATAACTATGCTATCTAACTATGCTACTTCCATTTATAACTATGCTATCTAATTATACAAAGCCGAGTTTACGTTTAAGCAAGATAGGCAGCTGCTTAAGGCCCCGAAAACAGCAGGACCCTCTTCTTTTAGTCAAAATCTGCGAATAAGCAAAAAGGATTCGTTTCTAATTTCCTGTAAACTGTTTTCCTGATTGTTGTCCTTTCCAGCCTTTTTTTTGTGTCAAATTTCAAAGACCACCCCCATTTACAAATGGAAGTGTTTGCTAAATTGGAGGGGTTTTTAATTTGGTATCAATATTTCACCAATAATAAAACAGATTTGAACTTTAAAAAAAAAACTTTTAAAAACAACTCGGAGTCCTTATTAGTGTTTCCGCGTTGAATCATTTATTTAATTTTTTTTGTTAAATTCGTACCAGCTTTTATTTTGCTGTTTTCTCAAACAAATATAGATGGCGAAAGAGCACAGGAAATAGCCTGTGCTAGGACGAGGAAAGAAAAACAACAGAAAACTGTTTCGCTACGCCTTTTTATTCCTTTTTTTTAATATAAATAATATATTCAATAACAAAATAATATTATCTAAAGCTATTAATTTTATGTCTAAAAACCAACAATAAAAAAATATTAGTTTGCTCAAGATGCATGGAAAATGAATTTGAACATATTAGGGTCGCGGCAAGTTTAAATCCGGCCACTTTTCATTTGAGCAACTCTTGTAGATACTATTCTTCAATTTTATTACCCATTGGCAGAATGGGTGTTGTTTTGGGTTAGATGGCTATGCTATTCTATGCTATGGTACACTTTTCAGCTACGTTAAAGAGTAATAGAAAACAGGGCGCATGCGTCGTCATTGCATGCGTTGCTATGGCGACGGCTGCTGTTAAATACTTTTTTTTAATTTTTTTTNTTTTTTTTTTTTTTTTTTTTTTTTTTTTTTTTTTTTTTTTTTTTTTTTTTTTTTTTTTTTGCTGAAAAGACTACTATTATTTCCAGATTTTAACTCAGGAAGATTGGAACATCGTCCTTTTCAATGGAATGGAAAGGACCTCTCACTGGGCCGCATTGTACTTCGTCGCTCTCATGACGTTCGGAAATTACGTTCTCTTCAATCTTCTAGTTGCGATCCTTGTAGAAGGGTTCTCCGCAGAAGTAAGTTCTTTTACAAAACAATTCCATTGGGGGGAAAATACTCATATTAGTTTTCATTCGATTTAATAATGAATACCATGCATTATTAACATATAGTCCCTGGCAAAATTATTAGACACACTGTAAGATTCTACGTAAAATCTTAACTATCAGTTGATACCATACAGCTTTGTTGTTTTTACGCGAATGAAACCAGTTTGCACTTGTTTACGTTCGTATACCAATTAGTTAAATTAGACGATATATCCTATAAATTCGACAATTGGATAAATTAGACGATATATCATATAAATTCGACAATTGGATAAATTAAACGATATATCATATAAATTCAACAACTAGATAAATTAGAGGATATATTATATAAATGTAGAATATTTATTATATCTGGTATTATATTAGTATAGTATAATAATTAGANAACTTTAAAACAATATTATGTAAGTTCTCTACAATTTTTTTACATAATTTGCAAATATGTTGACACTGTCATTTAACTAAAATTACGAATTTCGAAATTAATATGGTTTTTTAAAAGGCAAGCGAAGCTTAATTGTTCCTTCACTGGCTAGTTTACCCTAGTGGGTTTTTATTTAGGAACTTTTTTATATACTTCCTATTTGTATTTATTTTTAACAATGATAACCAATTGATACACGAACGTAAAGTGGTAAACTGGTTTCAGCCGCGTAAAAATAATAAAGCCTGTATAGTATCACCTGATAATTAAGATTTTACATAGAATCTTACAGTGCGTCAAATTATTTTGTACAATTGTATCATCCTTCAATTAGTGAATTGAATAACTCTATTTTATTACAATTTATTGTTTCAGATTTTTATTTGATTAGTCTTTATGATATGATACTTTGATTTAACAGAAGTTAATTTTATTCAATTAAATAATTTCAGTTAATAATTCATTCAATTGTATTCTTTTTTTTCGGACTTTTCTCTTTATGCACTCCTGTAATTGTTTTGATTTACAGGATGAAAGGAAAAGGAGCGACGAGTCTATTAATAATGAAGAAGAGCATAAGCAGGTCAAAAAATCGTCTAGAAAAGAATCAAGGCATGGTAAGGCATTTTATGACCACACACTTTACTCGCGCTCTTTAATTTAAATAGCATACACTTTATGTGATTCAAATAATTTGTACTTCAAATTTGATACTTTACTCTTAAGAGGATACCATACCACGGGAGAAACCTTTCATCGAAAATTCTATTTCACCACCATCACTAAATTAAAATTAAAAGTTCAGGGCACCATATTAGATGGGCCAACGTTGCTCCCATAATAAGGTCAGATAATACAGAGTATAAAAAAACACCCATGCCTTGACCCGGATTCGAACCCAGAACCTTTCCAATTCGAAGCCAGCTCCCTTACCCCTGCACAGTCAGGTCGGTAAAATCAAAGTATAGAAAAAGTGAATTCAGGCAAACCTAGAGTAAGACATGGAGTTTCAAGTACTGAAAAGAAATTTTAAAAATATCAAATTGCAAACAAATAATTAGAAAAGAACTTCCCTATTGGAAAATGCTGAGTTATCTTCTCATAATTTATTTTCATTTTGATACTTTGAAAATTTCTTTTCTGTATTTGAAACTTCATGGCTTACTTCGTCTGAACTCACTTTTTCTACACTACAAATTTTACTACTTATTACTACTACACTATAAATTTTACTACTTATTACTACTACACTACAAATTTTACTACTTATTACTACTATACTACAAATTTTACAACTTATTACTACTACACTACAAATTTTACTACTTATTACTACTACACTACAAATTTTACTACTTATTACTACAACACTACAAATTTTACTACTTATTACTACTACACTACAAATTTTACTACTTATTACTACTACACTGCAAATTTTACTACTTATTACTACTACACTACAAATTTTACTACTTATTACTACTACACTACAAATTTTACTACTTATTCTACTTATGGAGATGAAAGAAAATTTGCAATGAAAAGTTTATGCCTTGGTATAACGTCCTCTTAATACGGTGTGACTTTGCATGTTATATTAGCTATGAATGAACTATCTCTTTACTTGTATTTTTTTTCCTATTTCGGCAATAAACAATAACTTCCGCTTACGGTAATAGTATTCTGAATTTGAAAATACATAAATTTCTAATTGAAAACATTTGCATAGTGAATGTGATTAAAAATAAGCCCTAAATTATCCCGACATTTATATCTTAACTGTGTTTATAATAAACATTATCAGCAGTTAGTTCTAGTTTTCTCAAAATGGAAAGAGGCATGAAAATGTAAATTAAAACTTTTTCACTATAAATGTAATAGTAATAAACTGTGTCTATTATGCCTTCTTTTTTTGTGTTTATAGTAAACATTAATTATTGTTTGTTTTAGTTATCTCAAAAAGGAAAACTACTTGAAATTATTATTCGACGGGAACCATTGAATTTTACTTGAAATCAATGACTCTAGTATCATTGAATCACATTTGAATTTCATAAGTCCCATACCAATTTTATTAAGACAACTTTTTCACGGATCCCCCGTTTTCCTCGCCGTTATAAAGTACTTAAGTTTACAAGCGACTATTTTGCATACTACTAATGACTTAATTTCAAATCGTAGAAATCTAATAATATTTCAAATGCACCTTTTGTTCACACTAAAATTTTGATACATACTCTAGTAAATATTGTATTCGTACTATCATAACGAATTCGCCAAATAATGGATTCCTTCTATCGTAAAAAAATTTTAAATAATACATTAATACTATCGTAAAAAAAATTCTGAATATATTCGTACTATTCTAAAAAAATTATAAAAATCGTACTTCTTATATTGTAAGGAATCTTAAATAATGTATTCGATCTCAAGTAAATATTCTAAATAATTTATTCGCATTACAGAAAGAAATTCTAAATAGATTAATCATGCTGTAGAAAAGTATTATAAATAATGTATTCCTATAAAAGTAAAGATTTCTAAAGAATGCATTGATGCAATCTTAATGAATCGAATAATATATTGTTACATTCATATGGAATCCTCTAAAGCTATTTATTATTTTAAGACATGTATCATCATGTTGCAGGTCATCGTCATTCAAGACATTCACCTGAGCCAGGAGACAGTAAGGAGGCTGCTTGTTCACCACCTATTATCACGCACACAGCAGCTACTCCTCAAGGTTCTCCTAACAACACCCTTGAGCCCTTAATGAGAGACCTCAAGGATAGGCTCACCCCTATTATGGCATTCAGTGTCCCTGGAGTATCCTTCGAATCTATTGACAAAACATCGGTGAGTCCTCATTACCCATTGATTATCTGCAGACGATAAATAGAAATATGATGCTGAATCATTGTAGCTTATCTATATATATATACTCCTGTAATTGCTTTGATTTACAGGATGAAAGGAAAAGGAGCGACGAGTCTATTAATAATGAAGAAGAGCATAAGCAGGTCAAAAAATCGTCTAGAAAAGAATCAAGGCATGGTAAGGCATTTTATGACCACACACTTTACTCGCGCTCTTTAATTTAAATAGCATACACTTTATGTGATTCAAATAATTTGTACTTCAAATTTGATACTTTACTCTTAAGAGGATACCATACCACGGGAGAAACCTTTCATCGAAAATTCTATTTCACCACCATCACTAAATTAAAATTAAAAGTTCAGGGCACCATATTAGATGNTTGTTGTGAGGGAATGACGCGAAACACTGGGGACAAAGTTTAAAATAGTGCTGTGTTAATATTTTTATCAGAAATTAAATTTAAAATTGATTTTCTGAATTCTATATTTCAATATTCTGAAATAAAAAATACGAATTTGTAAAAAGAAAAAATTTATTTCAGAAGGAATTTTTTTTTTTAATCAGCAGTGTGGACAAGTGAGGGAATGACATATTGGTATATGTTAATTACCTAAAATAAATAAAAAATAAAAATTGATAATTTTATTTTTTTTCTTTTGTTAGCCTGCATTTCGAAGGACACTTTCCCTAAAAAAAAAATTTTCGTAAGTTGTAAAACAAACATAAAATATACTGGGGACATGAAAATGACTGTTTTTGTGAGAATGACCCATATACATATCTATACAAACACTAATATATAATATAAATATAAAATAATATAAAATAGAAATTTATTAATGGTAAAAACCAAAAGTCTTTCTCAAGACACATCTTTTGGTATAATATAATGCGATATTTCTGAATAAAGAAGAATTATCCTAAGATAAAAATTATTCTTTATATGTTTCGATACCGCTGAAAAATCAGTTGGAAAAAAAGAGCACGAAATAAAGGAAAGCAGAGACCAAACTTACCGGCGTGCAGCAAAATGTGGATTAGGTTTAAAAGTGAAATACTAATTTAACAGTTAACAAATTTCTCGAAGAAGCAAACTCTTTAAAGTTGTGCTTATAGCTTGAATCGAATAAAATGAAAATAAAATATGTATAGATATATATTATAATCATTTCTGGCCTTAGTTTTTTTCAGCATGATATACTTACTATTTTAGTTGATAATATTTTTAAGGACGAACGAATATAGAAAAGTTTTATAAAAATTCTATCTGTTTTAAAAATTTCTGCTTTAGTTCACTACCACTGGTTCACACCGGCCGAAATAGGAAAACTGGTGGCAATTTACTGATGGCACGCCATACCCCACATATTAACAGGTTTATATATAAATGTGAAGAATTTTCACATTCACGTTTAAAAAACGTTTTTTTAATGTATTTGGATTTACCCGCTTCATATCGATTTGTAATCCCACCGAAAGAAGAAATTTTATGAATTTTCAAGTGCAGTGGTTGCGTAATTTTGATTAAATCAGGGAGATTCGCACTTTCACGTTAGATGCCGTACGCTACCGTACATAAGATTTGAAGTAACTGCGCATGCTCGCGTCTGTTTTAGATGCTACGTATCTTTAAGTAATGTTAGTGTGATTAACGCTACAAAGACAAAGCTACAAGTACGCTGTTTATAGCTGCTAAATGTTGCTTTCTGTTGAAGCCTACCTTCGAACTTAAAGAAATATATTAATGAAATTTAGAAGTGAATCGTGTGATCTTACAACAATTGGTTGAATGAAGATATCATCTATGTCCATTGTAAATGTTTGTTTTGATATAGTCAAAATTAAAAACAATATTCCACTACGGTAGCGCTTTAAAATTACGGATTTTTGCGAAATCTCTTATTTTTACTTACGTAAGTTTGATATTTTTCACAGGCGCATGCGTAATTACTTAAAATCTTACGTGCGGGAGCTAACGTAAATTTGCGATACCTCCCTATTGATCCAAACAAATTTGTGTAACATTCACAAAATCCAACATTGGTTATGTCAAACTTACCATAAATCAAATTCCAAGAGACCTACAGTCGGACCCCAATTTAGTGAATTCATAGGGACCGAAAATATTATTTACTAAATCGGAGATAATTCGTAATATAGGGGGCAAAATTAGAAAAAGATTGACTAACCTTATGAAATATCTGTACATCTCTAGTATGAAAATACACAAAATAAATAGAAAACTTAAACTTTTTATTCAGGAACTTAAAATACAGGGATTACGCGTTGATTAATTTGAAATTTTAAAGCATTTCCTGAGTAAGGTTTGCTTATTTTCTCGATTCTAACTTTAAGAAGTTCTTTTTCGACATCATAAAGATAAGAAAATACTTCTTCATTTACATCTTGCTGCATTAGGTAAGTTTTCACTGTTTCCCAACAGTGCAAAGCATCAGAAAATTTAGGGGAGAGGGGGCGCATGTGAACATGGTATGGTTTACCAATATGATTTTAAATAAAAAATCTTGAAAAATTTTCAATAGATGGCAATTTTAGCTCTACCTCTCTGCAAAACTTTCAGAACAATGTGCCATTTTGTTGTACTATTCTGACAATTTCTTTGTATCAGCTGGTGTATATACTTTTACCACTCGCTTCTTCAAGTGAAAACATAGTATAAATCAGCTAATAAGTTAAAATTAACTATTGCAGACCATTATATGAACATTCATTATGACAATTATTATTCTTTTTTTTTCAATAAAAAATTCGTTATTTTTTAAGTTAAGTTTAAGAAAGATAATGGGCACTTGCGAACAAAACATCTGGGGCAGATGTGAACAGTTCACATACCCTACATAGTATTAAGATTATTATCTTCATGATATTATAAGTTTAAAAATGCATTTAAAATTACTATTATTTAATTTTCCATATTTAATTAATTAATTGTTAATTTTTTCTTTTAAAAATTTATGATTACTAATGGTGAGGCAGAAAATGCTGACAATGATCTTAACAGTAGTGCCATCAGTGTTTGTCCTACATCAGAATCAATCCGATCATTTCCGAGAGAAGTAAGTAACTTAAAGAAACGAAAGCGCGAAAAGGAAAAATCACGTATATTAACTGATACACCTGAGAAAAATAGAATTGGTAAAGCTAAAAATGAAAAGATAAAAAAAATGAAAAAAAAGCATGAAAGAGTATCAGAGAAGAAGAAAAAAGTCCCATTACAACGAACCCCATTATTACGAACATGAAGTTGCGAAAAACCCAATTGACGAAATTAACCCAATAATTCACATAACCAAATAAACCCTATAAATTCACATAATAAGCAACAACCCCTTTAGTATAATGTGCATCTAAATCTGTTATATTAAAGATTTTTTTCTTCTAAATATGATGATTGCTTTGTGTTTTTAATATCGTTCATATGTGCCCCAGGCAAGTTCACGTGTGCCCCCCTAAAGGGGCCCCCCATAAGGGCACATGTGAACAATTGAAGTTATTTTACTAAAATATCATAAAGTAAAGAAATATTTTATTGAAAAATCTCAAAAAATTCCATAAGACAAAGAAAAGACTATTTAAAGATATAGACTTCGTTACTGTGAGAAATTGATATTTTTTAAAAAATGAAGAAATAAAAAAAAGTGTTCACATGTGCCCCCCTCGCCTCTAACAGTTTTCACTGGAGATTCATTATCATCGACTTCTGTGTCAGAGTCGCTATTCATATATATCTACTTCATTAATTTCATAAAACTAATCACGAAATTCGGTAAATAGGGGTTCGTTAATCCGGGGTTCGACTGTATGTACCAGAATAACTGCAACAATTACTTTATCTTATTTCCAACGCGTAGCGAAATAATATTTTTGTTTATCTTTTCAATTATTTGTGTGGATGTGTGTTTTACTGTATCCTATTTCAATTCAAAGCATGTTGTTGTATTTCTGCAGACTGTTTCGAGTCTTCATGATTCGAGTAGTCATTTGTCAAGAAGTCAACGAACAAGCATCGGGAGTGATATCCTCATGTATGTGCCAAATTATACAGTTCCTAATTCCTCCACAGAAAGTGTCAGTTTAACAATGAAGGTATTTCCTTTTCTATTCACTAACTATCTCAAACTGTACGGAAGTGACTCGAAAAAAAAGAATAACTTTTTATTCAATAATCGGTTTTTTCACGTACCAGGACTCAAACTTTTTGTTTATCGGTATGACCTCAATAGGCAGACGATATTTTAAGTTACGAGATCAAACACGAAAATTCTCTACTTCATTACGGTGGGCCAAATAATAGATATTTTTGTTCAGCAATAGCAAAAAAAAACTTTTTAATAGCAAAAAATATTTTGTGCTTTAACATCTGGAATTTGGGAAGAATAATTTTAAAAAATATTTATGTCAAATTATGTTTATAAGTTTCTTAACATAATAATGATTAAAAAAATATTTTTTTAAATATATTTTAAAAAATTTATATGTCACGCACAACCTTCAAAGTCTGAGAAATATGTATAAAAATGTCAAATTTCAATTTTTTTTATTGAAATACTAATATTAAACTTTGTTCTAATACCATGAACGTACTTCATTTTAATGTTCTTTTCCTGTAGCTAAAAAATATTTCATTGTTCTACAGCTTTTAGATAGCGAAATAAAACTTGTAAAATTTCGAGAAATCAAGCCAAAATGTGGTTTTTGGGGGGTTTAGGTGGGGGAAAAAACATAACAGTTTTTCTTTTTCCCACTGATAAGTACAAGGTTGTACGATTGGGACCAAGGTTGTACGATTGGATTTTAAAATTAAATCTGATACTAAATAGATACAATTATTACCTTATAAGAACAACGATGACTATTTTACCCAAAATATGACAAAAATATCGTTGTACTTAGCTCGAAATTCAAAAAATACGTAAATTAAAACGACTGGTGAGCTCGCAAACAGAAGTCCGCCATTTTGAATATGAGAATGTTGCCAAATTTCTTTAGTCATAGTTTTATTCCCTAATGCCTGAAAAACCCTGAAAACATAAATACCCTTGCAAAATTGGGACCTGTTCATCCATTAGGGAATAAAGTTTAATCTTTGGGACGTATATTTCCCATACGGGTGGAAAAGTTTAGCAGACAAAAGTATAAAGTATTTTTCATTCAAAAATATCTACGATATTTGAATTGATACTTTTTACCTACGAAAATAAAAAGTCAAAATCTGCCCGAAGTCTGCCAAATCTCAAAATTTTATACGAAAAGCTTTTCTAAATAATATTTTAAATATGAAAAAAAAGTATTACTTTAATTTTTAGGGTTCGTTTAAAAACTGATTCAATTCCTTTATATTTTTTTCGCAGACTACATCCAGAAGATTGTCCCAGGAATGTGAAGCAGAAGAGGAGAATTATCCCAAAGTTAAGTTGAAAGATTATGATGACGAAGAATTATTCACGGTAGAAGAAGAAATGATTTACACAAATGCCTTAAAGAGCTTAAATGGAAACAAAAATGCCGCTCGGTAAGGAAGAATCATTTGGCTAATAATACTAAAGTGAGAATTTTCTTTACAGTTAGACATGCATTTAGTTCAATGCAATTTGTAAGTTTCTTCAAAATTTGACGTCTAAAGCCTTTGAAGGTTGCTGTTGTTGTCGCCAGTCATTAAGGCAGAAGGGTGCAATTGTTTTTCAGTGGCGCCATCTATGGGCAAGAATTAAACTTCTGCTACACTCATATGCCACACCCGCTTATAGGACGGTCCCGTTCATACATCCATTCATCCACATATCGCAATTTTACCCAGCATCAGAGAACGATCCATCTCCAATTCAGTACTACCAGAGTTATAATTTGTTATAGGAACAGGGTGGACTTTGTGATTCGACAGATTTAACTTGCACCAGTCACCATTTACTACACGGGGAGTCTTCGGCCGGCTGTATTCGAACTCCCGTTCTCAGGAAAGTGAGTTTAGCGACCTGCCAACCAGGCAGTCCCGGCCTAGGGTTTGAAGGTCTTGGGGCAATATGGTGATTTTTCAAATTGTTTTCCACATTTTCAACTGTTTTCGGTTGAAAAACGACACGAATTTCATTAATGCTGTAAACTAGAGCGAATTCGGAACAGGAAATTATAGTTAAATTATCACCGTTATGAAAAATGTGTCTTGAATGCACTAAACCGTCCCTTTATTTTATCTGGCAGAAGCACTGTTGTAAACAAAGATTTACTTTCGGTAAAACTTATATTTCAGTAAACTTCAATAAGTTATTCAAACTAATTGATAACTAAATAAAAAAATATATAATTAATATTATTATAAATTGAAACAATAAAGTTTAAGGATTCATTTTAAGCAACAGTGTTTACTGCGATCACTTTATCGTCAACAAACAATTTGGTGCCAGAAAGTTTTAAATCATTCGTGACTTTAGAATTTCAAATACGTAAGCAGTTTTTCTCTATAAGATCTACTTTAGAAAATACAGATTTAACGTTGACAATTTGGGCAATATGTGATTTTCGCAGTCCCGGGAAGTATTTATTGCTATATATGTTTATTGAATTTTCAATATACTGGCCAATGTTTTGATTTTAATGTATTTCGGTGTTTTTCATATCTGATTATATTTTCTGATTTCGGAATAAAAATGTTTAAGCTTTATTTATAAACTCTACTCTTATGATTTAGAATTTAAACAAGTACAGAGTAAATTCGGTGTATTATAAAACTCTAAAACAAGAATAACGAAGAAAATTAAATTCAATTTTTGTGAATAGCAAACCAAATAGAATTTGAAAATATTTGAAATTATCAGCTAGAAGAAATTTTTCTTCTATTGGATTAAGAGGTTTATAAAACCGAGTATTTTTTGCATTTTTATGTGGTATCTTTAGAAAAGAACTGTTGATAGAAAAACACTGTCTGCATATTTGAAATCAGCTAATCAAATACACATCAAAAACAATTCCGGAAACCAAAGAGAAAAATGTAAAACTGAGTAATTATTTACAGTGCTGTCTCTGGTAACAAATGTTATCAAAAATGAATGAAAACTAAAAGTTTGAAGTTGTTGAGTTGAAAAGTTGAAACTAAAAATTCTATGAAAACCAAACGTTTGAGAGTTTCGGTTATTGAGTAAGGGTTATCTGATTTCAGCAGAATCACATATTCCAATCTTTTGGTGTTTTCTTTTTCGTGTAAAAATAATGACACCATCCAAAGGCATTCCAATGTTCTTTTCGCTTTTTATTTTGCTTGTTTCCTCCTTATTTTCTGCTTCAGACTTTAGTTTAGAAAACCCTTTGATTTCGTTTTCCTCAAGTAGAAATACATAATGTCGCTTGAGTTGGAGCTATTTCTATTTTCAATTGCAGGTTGCATGTTCTGAATCACAGACATTGCAACGGAGGAGTACCTCTTCTCAAAAACAAAACAACTGGGCCAATCTTAAAGGACACTGAAGTCCATCTGACTCACAAGGACATCAGTCCGCAGTATTCTTTAAGAAGCCAAGATTCACTCCCGATGGACAGTAGCTGCAGCAGGACTCTAAGAAGGGACTCTACGGAGACAAGAGCAACAGGAAGCAGCAGGCATCACTCTTTGACCAGTGGTGACCAACCTCTAAGCAGGCAGAGCTCTTTGGCAAGTGCGAGCTTATATCCTAGTCCTCAGAACTCTGCTAGGTGTGTCACATCGGCCAAAGATAAGGAGGGTGTGGAACCGCTTGCCATACCAGAAGAAATAGTTATTCCAAAAGAAATTGAATGTAAAAACGATCAGTGTGTGATTACAGAAAAGGTAAGTAACCAATGCTATCATGTTATATATCAATGTTTTTTCCTTTTTCGCTCTCTTTTAAACTGGATAGCTTTCAAACTTTTTGCAAACATGACTTGACAAATTACACTTTGTTATTAGTGGACACACGATATTTTACTCAGTATTATTATTATATTTACTGAAATAGTTTTCAAACCTTAAAGGATATGTTTGTTTAATTTTTGATAATAGTACTTTTAAAAATGTATATCGAGATATATCTTTATTAAAAGTTCAACTTTTGTAACATTTTACAATATTTTATAATATTTTACAACTTTTACAATATCGAATAAAATTCAACTGTAGCAAGTTAACAGTTGAATATTATTCGATATTTATCCTTATTAGTTTTTATTAAGAATGAAGGTACTTTTCTGTACCGAAATAATTATTTTATTGAGTGGGTAACCTGGCTAGCAAAATCTGAAATAGTTTTCAAACATTAAAAGGTATGTTTGTTTAATTTTTGATAATATTTTTAAAAATGTATATCGATATATATACTTATTAAAAGTTAACAGTTGAATATTATTCGATATTTATCCTTATTATTTTTATTAAAAATGAAGGTACTTTTCTGTACCGAAATAATTATTTTATTAAGTAGGTAATCTGGCTAACAAAATCTGACCCAATTAACAAAACAATTTTAAGTTACTTTTTCGCCATTTTAAAAAGTTTATTACAAAATGAATAAAATATCATTGCAGTCATTATTTTTATGTCCATTTATTTCAATATAATTTCGTAACGAAATTACCTGAAGAGCCTATAATGGATCGAATACTGTAAAGTGACAAACCAAATAATTTAATTTTGATTTACGGGTCGTTTGTAAACATCGAACATTAATTTCTTCCAGCAAAATGTCTTGAAAACAGCTTCTTGATTTCTCTTCATAGCATAAAGTAAATTTTAACAATAGTTTATATTCTGCTTTACGAATTCTAATGCTAAAACCTTCAATTTGGGGAATGTTCTTTCTTTGAGGATACGGGAAGACAACATAAAATAAAAACTAACTAATAACTAAGACTAACTGCATGCGAAATAAAAGCTTAAAGATTCTTAAAACTGAGTCCAAAGTTTTATTTCCAATTCTAAAAATAGCTACAAATATTCAGATTTAGTTTTTATTATTTTCGATATACTTGCCACCAATTATTATGACCTGGTACAAACGAATTCTGCAAAACCTTACCGCAAGATTTATTTTACCTTTCAAAAATAAAACCATCAAGATTTAGCTACAACAGTTCAAAAACTACCAGGGTGCTTTCTTTCAAACAGGTAATTATAATCCTTTCACTTGCAAGGTTTCATGTTTAAAACTTAAAATATTTAATTTTTAGATTTGCTGGATAATTGAACCAAAAGGCTGGATAAAAAGAAGAGAGAATTATTCAATTTTCCTGTTTCCTCCTGCTAACAGGTAATATAATAACAATCCTTGGTAATATTCATTTATAACTAAACGAGAGAATTTGGAGAGAGTTGTGTAGAACAATATAAATAACTCTTTTGAACATGTAGTGTATCTACCACTGCAAAAATATAATTCCAATTCACCGGTATATAAGACATGTTAACTCATTTCTACGGTGGGTGACCTTTTCATAGATGACGGTTGACATTCTCTATAATTTCTCACCCCCACATTGGTGACCTTCGGATGTGTACGAACATGCCCACCTTGACAAAAAACTCCCATTTCGATAGGAACACGCCTACCTTGGCAGTAACGCCCACTTCGATCTGAACAAGCTTACTTCGATGGTTCACATTAGACAGTTGACTTGCTACTTATGACTGCAACATTATCCACCTCCTCGCACTGTCGCTACTCAGTCTCGATCAAACACAACGTCGGCCTGCATACACTCGATTGCTAAAGGCAACACAGGAGCGATCACGACCGTGAACCTAATACAGCTCTCACAATCAGCACGCAACAAGTACGGTGATCTTAATACAGCTCTCCCGGCATATCACGAAACAACAATGAATCAACTAGTGGAATCCGTTCATCGAATTCTATCACAGATATAATTCTGATGGGGGAGTACTGTAGTGTATCTACCACTACAAAAATATAATTCCAATTCACTAGTATATAAGACATGTGAACTCGATTCTGCGGTGGGGTACCTTTTCATAGATGAAGGTTGACATTGTCGATATCGACTCTTCCCACGAACATTTTGTTTGTGGGAAGGATTTTCAATGCTTTCAAACGCATCGCAATCAAACTCAGTCAACATGCGCGCTAATCAACTTCGTAATTTACGAAAATTATCAATGTGACAGGAGGCTGTCGTAAATAACTAAAAATCGTTAATGTCACCCTAGTTAAAATATTATCTGAATTCAAGTCACAAAAGTGTCTCAACGAAAGATTTACAAGAAAATGAACATCGGGACAAAAAATTTGGATGCCTAGTTTTTGACTCGAATAGACTTCGGGCAATTATTAAATATAGATCTTACCTAAGCTAAATAGAAAAATTGTTTCAACTTCATTAAAGTTATTACAATAATCATCAATTGGTAAAAATATACCTGAGGGTGCCCCTTGGCGACTTATGTTTGGCGCCATTCTTGTTTGCGTGGAACACCGTGGTAGCAAAAATGGCGGCTAAAATATTATGATATTTCAATAAAACATTGGAAAATTTCAACAACACATCGGCCAAAACTTTATAAAATTACAATGAACCCAATATAAGCAAAATTAATAAACACAATAAAATGCATTTTGGAATCGAAACAAAAATTATGGAGTAAGCACAGAAAGAAAAGGAAAAAAACAACTCACTTCTTCATCAAGATTGAATATCCTCAGATTTAGGAGCGCAGAATTCTCTAATGGCAGTTAGATACTGTCAAAATGTATCATGAATAGAATCTGTGTACCTTCATCTTCACCTAAATTCAGTGAAATACTAATCGAAAATGGCGTCTGTGGTACCGGACTGGCGGTGACATTTTTCTCTAAAGTCCCTTTTTATGACTGCACACATACTTTCGATCTTATTGACCAGAAGCAAAAGTAACCTTACCAGCCGGTATCCAACGTAGAACTAACAGACCTCTGAAATTACATATACAGTTGAACATTTAAAAATAACGCTAAAATCTAAACCAATCAGAATCGCGATTGAGTTTCAACATCGTCCAGCTTGGCGATCAACCGCTATCACAACTTGGCGAGAATCAAGGGGCACCCTCAAATATAGTCTACCCGGATGTCTAGTTTTTGACTCGAGTAGACTTTGGGCAAATTATTAAAAATCGATCTTATCTAAGCTAAATAGAAAAATTGTTTCAACTTCATAAAAGTTATTACAATAATCATCAATTGACTTACTTTAATTTTCAAATTGTTCTCTCTGTAATAGTATTAGACTGTAGCATAACTTCTAATAGTTTTGAAGTTCTTCTTTATTTATTTAAAATGTTTGGAATTCGGCTTTAACGCCTGCCAATTTTTCAGTTTCTTCTGATTTTATGTCAGCAAAACTCTGGTTGCATAATCGTGTAAAAGAGCTTCTAATGATCTTCTATTATATCATTAATACATAAAATTAGAAATTCTACTTAAAATCACGTCTTTGTTCATGACAAATGTTAAGAGACTCTACCAGAAAGTTCAATATTCTGTCTTTCTCTACTAAAAAAACTCCAACTTAACTAAAATAAAATAATTTTGACTGACTTTACAAGAAACATAAAACTTTTTATTTGCTCAAAAAAATTTTCTATAATATCGCCATAGCAACCAATCATACAAATTCCAACTTACAACTTTCATATACTCAAATTACAAATAAGTAAATCTAGCTTACAACTTACATACACTCAAATAACAAATAAATAAAATCTAGTAGTTTTAACAGCTAGGTATGCGACATTTTGTGCAATTCGCGATCGCAACGAATTATAGGGGGCGTTGTTGTGTGAGACGAATTCATGCGATTTCTATATCAACAGTCATTCAGTTGCTCTGGAGGCGTCTTTAATGTGGCTTATTAAATTTAAAAAAGAAAAATGTTTTATATTCTTTCTTATGCTANTTTACTCATACAAATCAGTTTTTTTATGATCGTTTCATTGATCATAGTTCAAAAAAAGATTATATATAGCTAAACATAGCTTAAAATTAAAAAAATATAGCAGCTTGCTTTTTGAAGAAATGTAGCTTTCAGACCTGGAGTAATTTTTCCTACATTGAAACACGGTATATGTATATATATATAAAACAAAATAAATAAATACAAAAAAACAAGAAGAAAATTACGAAAAACAATGAGTTTCATTTATTGCGCATAAGCTGTCAGTAAACAGAACTCATTAGATAAGTTCAAAATGAAGATAAAACAAAGGAAAATTACAGACATATGAAGAAAAAGAAAGGGGGGGAGAGAAATAATAATAAAAAAGAAATAATAACAAACAACTCGGAGGAAAAAAAGAGAAGAAAAAAAAAAGGAAAAAAAAATTTTTCGAAAAATCCGGAAAATAAAAGCGGATATAATCATGTGGCCTGATGAAAAGATTATATCTTTTATTTTCCGGATTTTTTTAAAAAAATTTTATCCTTTTTTTTTTCTCCCAGTTGTTTATTTTTTTTCCTGATATTGAAATAAAAAAACTTTTATATTGTTTCTTTTTTTTAATCTTATAGTTCTTAATCAGACTTAAAAAACCATTCCGCAGAGAACTATCATCAAAATAGAAAAAAAAAATTTTACAAGCAATTTTTTTATTATAAAAATCATAGCACTTACTTGCTTTATAAATCCGGAGAATTCCAAATGAAATGTTCTTCGTTTGAAAATTTTATTTTGAAATAATATATACATAGATTATTCCTTCATTACTTTTAGATAACATAACAGCAAAATTTTATAATTCTAAGATCTCGATATGAATTTGAATATGTAGCTTAAAAATGGAATGGCTGAATTCTAGTTTAAATTATTCTTTCAAAACTAAAAAATACTTAATAAGAAAACGATCAAAATTTATTAATAATAGACAAAAATTCAAGTTCTATTTCAAGTAATTCGGATGATTCTTTATTGTTGTTTTCCGAACTATAAAGATACAGAAATATATACTATTCTATAAATAAAAAAAATATTCTACAACTATTGCAGTTCTACACGTTCTGATATCATATTTATTCATTGAAATAAAGTAAGAAATGTTGACTTCTCTTTAATTTGTAATGAATAAAAGACAAAAAAAAATTTTTTAACGTACTACACACATGTGTAACAGTATGCGATCCCGAAATCGGAAGTTATCAGTTGCAAGTTTGCTGATAATAGAAGTTTGAAAATATTGAGAAATTTTTCTTCAAATGTTTGGCGTGTTCTGTTTCTGAAAGATTTACCAATGTTCTGGAGATTTTTTTCAAGTTCTTCTACCTTTTCTTTAGGTAAATTTTGCTTCTTATTTGCTGCTAAGAAAATGGCGTCTGACTCTGCCAATGATTCTAATAGAACTAAAAGAAAACTTAATAAATGAATGACTGATATTTTCAGGCTCCGCTAGAGGGTGTACTCAAGCGTTGCGATCGCGAATTTTGGCATTATAATAACCAAAATAATTGTTACAAGTTATAAATTTATTTCTACATTTTTTGGCACTTCGTTTCAAAAACACTATTTTCCGTTTGTAATTTATAGTCGGTCCCTCAAGCGTCTAAAATAATTAAACTTCATTTAGAAGTATGAGAAATCACATTATCTAAACACTTCTGAAGTTATAAAATTATGGTTGAATAAGTATTGAGCATTAAATATCAAGTGAATTTGACAATTCCATTTCGGGGAACGAAATTGATTGATAATGGCCTTTGTCCTGCAATGATATGGTTATCATATTCGTAACCCTACCTTGCAATTTCACATTGAAAAACGCCTTTAGTTTTGTCTTTTTTGAATCTTAGACCACTGGTTAAAAACTACACTGTTTATGATAAAGCATTAGGTACATGAGCTGTATATTAAAAAAATTACACTCTAAATACTTTTTTTACCTATTGATTGGACCTTTGTGTAGGGGAGAGTGGGGTCAATTGTAACAGGGTACGATTGTAACAGAGCAAAAATTTCGAGTGTCGGGTTCTAGATTTGGTTCCTAGGTGGCGCACAAGGTGTATTTAATAAATCTACGTGTACACGCCTGATGGCAACCATTTTTATGTACTTTTGAAAGAGTTACATCACAAAAGATATTCTCACGAGTTATGCTGAAATATGCTGGTATTAGAATA